TGCGAGAGAAGTGGGAAATATGTTTTAAAAATTCGGAAGATAAAACATGATGACACGGGATCAAGGAAATGTGTGTGTTCGTTTAAATTGCACGGTTATTGTAGGGTGGATAGTTTATGGCAGTATAATATCATGTCCGGTATGAATAATCATGCGTTGGACACCAAACTACACAGACATCCAATTGTATGTCGGCTTAAGACGGTAGAGAAGGAAATTATTTCAGAATTGTCGTTGAGAAGATAATGGGTGCATGGATTGATATTCTCAATTCTACTACCGAAGAGTTGTATATTGAGAATGTGGTACACTTCATAAACTTGTTTGTCAAATATCCCAATTTCTTGAAATACGTTGAATCTACTATCCTTGATCAGGTGAAAGAGAAAGTTGTATGTGCTTAGACGGACTGAGTTAGAAATTTGGGTAACACAATAACTAATAGAGTAGAATCTGCACATGCGACGTTGAAGAAGTGGTTGGGTGATAACAAGGGTGACCTTTGTAAAGAATGAGACACAGCGAACCAAATGCTCCAAAACCAATATAATGAAATTCAAACAACATTTGGTAGGAGCAAACCTGTATTAGAACATTGTTTTAAAGGCAACACTCTATACGCACAGTTGGTCCACAACATATCCCGAACGAGATTGAATTTCAACTATCATGAAGTGAAGCGATTAGAAATGACAGGGCCATATAGTTTAAAGTGTGGGTATACAATTAGGAAGAGCTACAGGCTTCCATGTACTTGTGTTATTTCTATAAAAAATAAGCTCAATTCTCCCATACGTATGGATGAGCTTTGCACTCATTAGAAAATACTCTGTTTTAATGACTACGAGTCGGCAAAGGAAAGTACATCTAACATAACCATCACAAATGAGTTGGAGGTGATAATGGAAAGATTTTCTAAAGTTAATGACTATAAGAATTGCACATCAAAGAAATTTTGAGAAAAATCGTGTTTCCGAAAACCACCGGTTTGAAACCTCTATCGCAACCGGTAAAAATAAAAGGTGCACCTGAAAAATCGAGAAATTCTCAGGGTGATGGTTCAACAAAGCGGACTCCTTCTTACCATGAAATTGTTGATTCAATATTCCCAGATTCTCCAGAAAGCTGCAATTTGAGGCGAACTCCCATTATTTCATCATACATTTCCTGCATTTAAGCTGATTTTTTGAAGAAGAATACAGCGTCACTTCAGATATGCACTTCCGAATTCAACCTACCATAATTAAGATGTGCATATCCGAAAAAATATTTGTTACAAAATCAGAGTTCTATTTTAAGAGAATTCATGTTTTTTTAACATGTTAGGTATGGTGCACCCCGATAATATTTTCAAAGCTCTCGTAAAGGTTCTGGACAAGGTCAATGAAGATGATAAGCCGGTTGAGGTGAAGGACGTTGATAAAATGAATGATGTTGTGATAAACTATAGACAACAATTTCAAAATGATAAAAGTTTCACCTCTCGTCAACATATGCTTGAATGAGTTCGAATAGAAGCTAGCAAACTTGGGTTTGATATTGTGATTGAAAGGTCTGACAATGAGACTAGTCAAAGGCAACCATTTGTTATGATGATATGCGAGAGAAGTGGGAAATATGTTTTAAAAATTCGGAAGATAAAACATGATGACACGGGATCAAGGAAATGTGTGTGTTCGTTTAAATTGCACGGTTATTGTAGGGTGGATAGTTTATGGCAGTATAATATCATGTCCGGTATGAATAATCATGCGTTGGACACCAAACTACACAGACATCCAATTGTATGTCGGCTTAAGACGGTAGAGAAGGAAATTATTTCAGAATTGTCGTTGAGAAGATAATGGGTGCATGGATTGATATTCTCAATTCTACTACCGAAGAGTTGTATATTGAGAATGTGGTACACTTCATAAACTTGTTTGTCAAATATCCCAATTTCTTGAAATACGTTGAATCTACTATCCTTGATCAGGTGAAAGAGAAAGTTGTATGTGCTTAGACGGACTGAGTTAGAAATTTGGGTAACACAATAACTAATAGAGTAGAATCTGCACATGCGACGTTGAAGAAGTGGTTGGGTGATAACAAGGGTGACCTTTGTAAAGAATGAGACACAGCGAACCAAATGCTCCAAAACCAATATAATGAAATTCAAACAACATTTGGTAGGAGCAAACCTGTATTAGAACATTGTTTTAAAGGCAACACTCTATACGCACAGTTGGTCCACAACATATCCCGAACGAGATTGAATTTCAACTATCATGAAGTGAAGCGATTAGAAATGACAGGGCCATATAGTTTAAAGTGTGGGTATACAATTAGGAAGAACTACAGGCTTCCATGTACTTGTGTTATTTCTATAAAAAATAAACTCAATTCTCCCATACGTATGGATGAGGTTTGCACTCATTAGAAAATACTCTGTTTTAATGACTACGAGTCGGCAAAGGAAAGTACATCTAACATAACCATCACAAATGAGTTGGAGGTGATAATGGAAAGATTTTCTAAAGTTAATGACTATAAGAATTGCACATCAAAGAAATTTTGAGAAAAATCGTGTTTCCGAAAACCACCGGTTTGAAACCTCTATCGCAACCGGTAAAAATAAAAGGTGCACCTGAAAAAGCGAGAAATTCTCAGGGTGATGGTTCAACAAAGCGGACTCCTTCTTACCATGAAATTGTTGATTCAATATTCCCAGATTCTCCAACCCCAAAATCCAAAACAAGTGTTAACAAAGGAGCTTGCATTTCCAAACCACCTTGTACACCACATATCATAAAACAACCACAACCGCCACCGATTTTCTACATTGATGAGATGTTGCTTTTTATGCACAAATATATTGAACGAATCGTGGATGTGAGAAGTGATGGTAATTATGAGTATCGTGTAATGTTCGGGTTACTTGGTAAAGGAGAGGAAAATCACACTCTTGTGCGCCAAACACTTATTTCAGAGTTGACGCGCATAGTGAACTCTACACTCGCCTATATGTGACTATGGAGAAATTTAATAAAGTTCATCATGCTCTTGCTCCAAGTGTTACCCTTCGCGCACCAGTTGCTAAGTGGATGAGCTTCCCTGAAATGGGTCATCCTATAGCAAGTGAATATGAGAGGGTGTGTATCGACTTGACAAGGTATGAGTTTTTGGACATTTTTTCCTCTTCGGACTCCCCACCTAAATATCCATCAGACCGCATCATGTGTATTGGGTACCTTAGATCACGCCATTTTGTTCAGATTTATTTGAAATCGGGTTGTCCTATATCGGCTACATTTGTGAAATAGACGACACATCATAAAAAAGAGGCGGAAACTTGGCTGGATCAGTTTTTGGATAAGATGGTAAAGTTCATCAATTTGATGGAGCTTGAGAAAGAATTAAATAGGGAGAAGTCAAAGAAAGAACATGTTTTAGATTTAAACAGTGACAATTCGTTCGATGCATGTTTTTTGAATGTATTGTTGTACACATTATAAAATCTATATGTTTCAATACATATATAACATATTATTTATATTTAGTTTTACAACTGTTTATTTTTTGTCACTTTGGTACACAATAATGATTTTGAGTTCTGGTTCTGCATAATTCGGAAGTGCACTTCCGAATTAAACTTCAATTAAAAAAATAACATAGGGCTTACTTCGGATATGAACTTCCGAATTCACCTCTTATTTTTATTAAAAGTCGTGGTGTCTTCGGATGTGTATGTCTGAAAAATCCTAATTTTGATAAAAAATAAGGTGACTGCGGAAGTGCATATCTGAAATATATCCGGATAAGATTTCTTTGATCCATATTGCTCCAAAAAGACTTTAAATTAGATCTTTCATACAATTTCTTTATCCATCACAGACCACAACCCGAAATGACACAAACATATTCACACCTTGTTTTTGTCTACTTCAGTGGTGCGCAGTCGCCACTTCAATTCAGGTTCTCACAGGACACGCCGTTCTCTGAGCTTATTACAATACTGCATTCTCTCTTGCAATATCCAGAGAATCAAAAGGTGATCAAGCTTGAGTATCGTTCACCTTCAATTGACATTGAAGGAAACGTAAAGTTCACTCCGTTTGAGCTCAAGAGCGACGACAATTTAGAGGTTACATGGGGTACCTTTCAACAATACTCTTCTAAGGATTCGATTGAGATGGATGCGAAACTTCAAAGATCGGCAAAAAATGTTATCAAAATATTGCGACGTCCTCAACTGTCCGTTTATAACAATATATAACTTTAATTTTCTGCATAACTATGTATGTAACTTCTTTGAATTATGTTGAATGAATATTATAAATTATATTGAATAATGTTCTATCCAGAGATAAATTCGTATATGCATATCCAAAATTGTCTAACATGTGAGACTTTAATAAATCTGGTTCGTTCAAATATGTACTTCTAAATTCTAATTGTATTTTAGATTTTTCACAAACGTCTAAAAGAAGTAGTGTAGTAGGTGTGGAAAAAAAAAATCTCAAATATCAAACTTATTGCAACATCTTCTGTTAGAAATGTATTGTGCACTTCTCGAAAACCTCTTTACATTAAGATTCCTTGTGTTAGTTAGTTTTTGGTTTCTATGTTTTCTCTCTTTTGGGCTTATAGCCCCATCCTTTTCTTTAAAAGTGTAACGTCAATGTCATGCAATGCAACAAATAAACAAAAGCCTGTGAAGAATATTCACTTTCGTGCGGTGCATCCAAGTCCTAATAAAAATAGGTACCTACCTAAAATCAACTAGATATATAGCTATAAGCTTATAATAACATGCTAGCTAGGAATAGCGGTAATTTCATCTCTCAGCGTTTATAATCAAATATAAGAGTACTCTAATCCTGACACAAAAACGAACTTTCATAACCCAACAAAATACAACCAGTTAGTTAGATAGATAAATGTTACTAAGAGACTTAAACAACACTCAATAAAAATATAATAATAATACAGAAATTAGCATTAACATCAAGATCAGTATCTTATCTATACCCCACAGGCATTCCAAGCTTATCCAAACGACCAGAACCTGGATACCCTTTACTTGCAAAACTTGCTTGCAGTGCAGAATTTCTCTGTGCTGCCAATCTTGCAATGTCATGTCCATTCAGTGAGTACCTATTAGAGGAACTAGATTTCTCATGTTGAGGCCTTTGTTTTGGTGCACTCATGGATCTAACTTTTGCCTTTGATGACTCTGTATATGCCATGTAACTTGGGTAATCAGAATAGCCTCTAAGGTAACTTCTTGATCCATCACTCTTTGTAGGAGTAAAAGGGCTTCTTTTGTATCCATCCTCTTTTGAAGTTGCAGATGATAAAAATTGAGGACTATTCTCTTCGACTTCGCTGAGTTTATGCGGGTTGTAATAAGATTGAACCTCACATGATTGACTTTGACTAGATTGATGAGATTTTGATTCCTTTGTAGGAGTTAAATTCTGACTATAATAATAATGATCAGTATCACTTATGGAGTGAAAGAGGTTTCTACGCTTCGAGGTTATTATGTGTTGTTTTCCCGAATCAATTTCCACAATCCTTTCAGTTTTCTCATCACTCCTGCTATATGATCTTATCAGTGACTTTACTCTATTCCATGATTGTTCGTCTATCTGATTCTCTGATATATTGCCGCTGAATGGGAGACATGATTTGGAACCGTTTCTCTACAATAATATATAATTGCATCCATAATAAGTGGACAGAACAAATTTAAATGATGCACCAAATTCACACTAGTTGAATTAGAAGAATTAACTGATGGAATTATGAGAATGGAAATACCTTGAATAACGGTGAATGTTCGGATTTCATGCTCCTAGATCTAACAGGGCTTTCTGATTTCTCTGGTGTTGCTGGACCCCCCTGTTATTGATCATTTGGAAAAAACTAAATGATCAGATCAATAACATGAGTCGATAATAATAGCTAACAAGATGAATCAACCTTCACATTGGCAAACCAAATAATAAAATATATGATCTACACTATTAGCATCCCATATATTCATTTATGCATAATATGGTTCACTTTAAAGACTGTTTTTCATTCTCTTACATTTATGCATCATAACTACACTTACATGGAGATAGAGTGTAGATGATTTTACATTAGAGTGTGATGTTTGCAGGATACGTGCAGCATTAAATCGTGCCTGTGCCCGCACAAGTGATTGCATCCGTTTGAGCCACTCTGCTGTTCTTTTCCTCTCAATGTGCCCTCTCACAAGAGCCTGGAGCTTCACCAGCCCTTTTAATGCCCGCAGTGCCTTCCTCGCCTAACAATTTCAATATTGAAAAGTAAAAGAGCAGAATGAATATCTCAAATGCAAAAGGTTGGAGACTTAAAGTTAAGACAAAACTAGAATACATGTTAGTTGCCCCACAAAAATGAGAACTTGTGGAAGTGTCTGAACAGAATCACAAAGCATATACGTCTACATCAACAAGATTATAAGCCTAATTAAGATGATGGTCAAGGCAGGCTCCACCTTGTACCTCCAGAACTTCCAAAACCAAACAGAAACATCTCTAGACTCACCTCATGGGACCCTACACAACCCCATCTCTTTTATTAGTCTTTTGAAAAACCATACACAACAAGGCCATCCACCCTCAAATGCAAAAACGTCTCTTCACACACACTAAATCCACATTCCCTGTAGATTCAGTAGCCCCACAAACTTAAAAGCCAAAGACAATATCCATTATTTAACTACAAAAAGACGGAACATTTCCATGGGCCATAGTAGTAGAAGAATAGAACCGTAGCCAATCAAAACTTTGTCCACCCATTCCCATACATTCTGGCCCCAACGGAAAAATTCAAACATTCAATAACAACCACCACCATTGACGAATAATAAAATAATAAAAGCATAAGTTCCACATTCATTACAATACTAGAGTATTATATTAGTATTAAACACCTATTATAGTATTTTTCAACGTCGGTAACACTGGAAGGAAAAGGAAAAATCATAAACGAAACGTTTTGTACCTAAAACATTATATTTCGGCAAAACGACACAAGAAACAGCTCAGTTACATAAAGAATAGAATTAAACGAAATAGACTTGGCAAATAGAACGTTTTTTTATTTAATTTTTTAAAAGAGAAAAAAAAATTCAATACTCGTAAATGAAAATTTAAAAGATGAAGAAAGATAATGGTTAATGTTTGTTACGAACCAAACTTGCTCGAAAAGCGGCTTGGATCTTAACGGCCGCCCATTGTTCGCGTAACCGGACGATGCCGTTACTGCTATTGAATCTCACGACGTCGGCAGCGGCTTTAGCAGCGGCTACGGCGGCCTCCGCAGCGGCGGCGGTGGCAGCAGCGACTGCGATGGCCTGTTTGTTGTTGTTAATGTTGTCGACGTGGACGTGGCTGTTGTGATGTTGTTGTTGTTGTTCTCTGTATGATTTGACGAAACTCCATCTCCGTTTCTCTTTGGGTGGTTTCTGATCGGTTGAAGCGTAATCCGGTTTTTTTAGACCGAGAAAACCGCGAAACCAGCGTGATGCTTTTCCCATATCAAGAGTGAGGAGAGGAAAGAGGAGTGTTTCTGTTTTGGAGTGTGAAGTGAAGGGAAATTAACACTCTTTCCAAGTATATATGTACCTTTTAACTGCAATCATTATGAAATTTATTAATATAACTATTCTTTTATACTCCATACTGTTTCTTTTGGACCGTCAAGCCAAATCAACTTTTGCTAATTCATTTTCGATTTTTGGAAATTGGAACTTACTGAAACTCTAATCTAATATTTAATGCTACAATTCTACAAAGTACAAACCTTTCCCGATCTATACTACTCTCCCACTATTACTTTTACCATCATGTTAACTTATGCTTAAAAAGTGAACTTTCTCTAATAACAAGAATTTGAGATACTACATGTTAATAAAATTCATAAATAATAAATATGTTTTGAAAAATAGAATATAAATTATATAGTACAATAGAAATTTTATATTTTCAATATAATCTTTGATAAAATTTACTTTAATTAAAATTGAGTTTAATGTAAATTAATTTGTGTTTAGATATAATAAATAATAAGTAATTATCATTAATTTAATTTATTTGGATTGTGTGAATTAAAATTATTTTTGACTATGTAACTATCAAAATATTGCATTAAAATATATATTTCATTTATCTTATCAATAGTTATTTAAATTTATATTGTATTTAAATTGTAGATATGTTAGTAAAAAATATTAAATAAATATGCATATTATTTATAAATATAAAAATTTATAAATTATATAAACTTTAAATTAGCGTGGTGGTTAAATAAATCTATAAATTATATATAAAAATTATAAATAAAAATTGAATTATAGGTATTATATTCATTAATACGATTTTTAATTAGTTTAAATATTATTTTTATTCATAACGTTTACATTAAAGGATAAATAATTAATTATCTTATACTGTCAAATAATTATAATTGACGTTTTTATAAATTGAGATTACGTGAAAGATATTCAATAAATAAAAATATATTAGTGTAAATAAATAATTAATACTTCATCGATTGTTTTCTCTTTTCTTATTCTTTAGTCTTGTAGAAGAAGAAGAAAAAGTGAACCTTTGTTCATTTGAGATAAAGAACTTGATTCCATATTTTTATAAAATAGCAAATTGTTTTAATAAAAATGAACCTTGTTCATGGAATGCAAATGGAAAGAGTTGAGATTGAGTAGAATATCAACTCATATAGGTGATATGTGAAAGTGGAAAAGATCAACAAATTTTAAGGTTTAGTTAAGAATGTGAGAAAGGAGGGTGATTTCTAATGTTTGTCTTTGAAATGGATAGAATTACATGATAAGAAAATATGTAACTGAAATAATGTTTTAATAATAGAATATGAAGTTGAATTGGTGAAATTTTGTATTTATGATTTAATTGATTAAATATATGGTCGAATTATTTATTAAATAAATTAATAATATAAAATTAAATTTCATAAATATATATCATATACAATCATATATTTATATCTTAATAAAATAAATATTTTAAAAATTCATTACAAAATTAATACAATAATATCAATAGTATTCATAATAATATAATATAATTGTACACTTAATTTTAATATTCATTTAAGAATAATTTAAAAAAGTTAAAAACTTACAATAAAATAAATTAAATAAATTTAAACTAAAATTAAAATAATAGAACATAATATTTTAAAATTTAAAAAATTACTAAAAATAAAGAATACAATATATTTAATTGAACATTTGTAAACAAATGTGAGTTGCAAGACTTGTAAACAAATGTGAGTTGCAAGACAACGAAATAAATTTTAATTAAACAATAATAGATAATATTACGTTTAACAAAAATCAATATTGAATATGATATTATAACTATATTTTAAAGTAGCAGCGTGAAGACGATGAAACGTGGTTAAAAGAAAAACTATAATCAAGTGATAGAACTTATAAGTTTGTATTATTGAAAAAAATAAATATTTTTTTTAAATGATGAATATTTTAGATTTTAATATTGACATATTAAATTATTATTTTTAAATTAAAAATAGTCAATTTGATGCTTTTTTTAATCGAGCAATTTTATAAAATTGGGTCTGGTTCTTTGGTTTGAAACATTTTAAACGATTCAATTCGTTTTTTTCTCGATTTTATTTGATTTTGACCTACTAGCTCTTTGAAAGGTTGATCGAATCAGAATCAACTATGGTTTCCGGTTCAATTGGTTAAATCGATCGATTCGATCTAATTTTTTAAACATTGATATAAAGTGTGATACGGTGGGAGAACTGACTTGGTATTTTGTGTTTTATCGCATTGTTACGGAAAGCAAGAGTCGCCACCGAATTTTCTTTTATCCAATAAAAGAAAGAGTGAAAAGAACAGGAAAGACCTTTTGAGAATTTTCTTGAGTTTGGGGGATAAGTTATGAAAAGGAAAGGTGTTAACACCCTTTTTCATCTGTAGTTATCTACGGGCTCTTAGTTGCTAGCTCACTTTTGAAATGCTTTTATGAATGTGTTTGTTTGAAAGTATTTTTTAAAAAGTGTCTTTGTTTAGGCGAACTTTGTAAAAATTCTCGTCTCTATAAGAATGTATATAAAATGTTGACTTTTGGAAATATTTCATAAAAGTGTTGGTGTGTTTGAAAGATGTTTTGTTTTGAAATGTTTCTGAGCAAGCAAGTACGAGCGTTCTACCTACTCAAAAGAAAGTCTTTGTTCTTTTCCTCCTCCTTTAGATAGTGTTAGCTTACCATTAGTAAGTAACCTTATCGTTGGATGTGAAGGGACAAACGTGGATCATCATACAATTATAGAAGGCAACATTGTAGGATACCTTAGCAATTTGTTGTAAGGGACTAAGATCGTTCACCGAAGGCAACATCGAATGGTCATCGAGGGTCTTTGCTAAAGTATCCCACGTTCGAGGGACATGACTATTTTTAATCTAATGCAACAAGTGTGGATTAACCCTAGAGGTGCATGTGTGTAAAGTATGTTGTTTTCATTTAATTTGTCTTGAATGTCTATTGTTTGATTTTAAGTCTTGTCATACAAACTCTAATTACTAGCAATAATATGGAAAACGATAAATTGCGGAATATAAAGTCCTACGCTATTACAATATTTTGGGATGAGGGATACAAATTTACAAATAGGGATGACAAGTAAAATAAACCATAATTACTATTACAAGACTTTTGACATTACGTAAATCATAATGCAAAATAATAGAATGAACAAAAATGTAAAGAGAAGAGAAATTGTTTTTGTGGCTTTTGTTGTATGAAAAGATTTTAAAGTTAACCTAATTAAACAAATTAATTAAAAATGAGTTAATTAAATTCTAATGTCTAATTTAATTTAATTAAAAGTGAAAATTAGAATAAAAACCTAAGTCTAAATTAGTTTAATTAAGAAAAGAAAATAAATAGTTTTAAGAAAATATTTTTTACTATTTTTTGCTTAATAAAATAAAATGGGAAAATATAATTATTTAAGAAAAATATATTTTTGGGATTTTGATTAAAAAATAAATAATAAAATAAAAGAAAGAAAATAAAATAAAAATATAAAAAATTGGGTCAGGGAGTTTGAAAAGAAAACATGGAGGTTTGAGAGAAGAAATATTTTGGTTTAGGCCCAATGTTTAATTTTGTTTATATCAGAAAAAACAAATAAATAAAATGTTGGGCCAGTGTTGTTGAGCAAACAAGGGGTCATGGTGAGTAAAAGAACTAGGCCCAACAATGGATGGCCCAAGCACGCTGAAAATGAGAAGAGAAAACAAGGAAAATATTGAAAAAAAGGAACAAAAGGTGTCGTTGGGGCTCGAACCCATGACCCTTAACAATAATACCTTACGCGCGCGCTTTCTGCCACTGAGGTGACTGTTTGATTCGTTTATAAAACAACTTGTAATAAATATAAAATAAACTAAGTTCTAAAGGCAACTTCATCTTCTTCCTCGCGCCAACCTTTTGGGTCTGATTTTTGAATTTCATATCTTGCTCATTTCTCAACCATTTCAGAAATTGTAAACGTCAAACTTGTTAGAAATTTCACCATGATATCAAATATGTAAATAACTTAAACAATGGATCAAAGATAAGTACGAATTTCTGTTCGTACCAAATCTGACCTAATTTTTACAGAAAGTTCAAACTTAAAATTCTCTATGCTCAGGAAATATAAATGAATTCTAAGGACATGGTTGGTTTCAGGACTATGATATATATATTTTATCTTCACAAATCAAAGCCAAATGATGCTTGTATAAGGATTTTAAAGTTTAGAAAACTCACCTTGTAAATGGAGATCGTGTTTTGAGTTTGAGCACTCTTCAAGGTGTTGTAATGATCTGGTTAGCTTCACTGAACCTCCAGGAAGCTATTGCTATGCTTACTTTGGATTGAGAGTGCCTGAGATATTCTGGAGAAGTCAACCTGCAAGCAACTGTTTTTAAAAATGGAAGATGAGGAAAATGATATTACAGTTGTGTTGCAGGTGTTTGGATTGTCTCTATATGTGTATTAGAAGCTTGGTGATTGATGAAAATGGAAAACATACGAGGGGATTGTGAGATGGATGTTGAAAGTCGGAAATGACACAACAATGGTGTTTTTAGAGCAATTTATGGTTTGAGGGAGTTTGAGGGAGTTTCAAGTCTTCTCAATCTGTGTCCTTGGCTTGTAAACAATGTCTCAATTTATAGGAAAAAGTTTGAGGACTTGAGATGATCAGAATCACAAGATCACATGTTGTGGATTTTGACTTGTTTTTGAAGCAAACTTGACAAATATGGTTTCAAGGCAAGGTAAAAATCTTGTATGGTGGCTATAAGCTTTAAACATGTTTTCTCTGAACTTGTAGATGGAGCTTATGCAGAAGGTGTTGGTGTAAGCCCTAGAGGCCAATACTTTTGGTACTTGTATCGAATTATTTATTAATAATAAAAGGCATTTCTTTATTATGTTTTCCAAAATAATAAAGTCCCTAGAATGGTTTATTGGT